ACACACACACAAAAATGAAAGAGGGGGATTTGTCATTCAAGTGATGTAATCATAATCCTAAACCCTTATTTATACACAATTATATATGTATGCGAGCCTAACGGGCTGGACTTTTGTGGGTGGGCCGGGCCGGGCTTTCATGGGCTTAATCGGGCCGGGCCTCCAATTTTTTGACTTCCCTCCTATATTATATGATGTAATATATACAACTTACTAATAGAAACTTGTAATTTAAATTAATGGTCCCTTTAAAAATAATTAGGCATGACTAATTTTGAAACATTTAGTTCTAACATGTGTTTTGAACACTTATATGTATTTGATATACTTGTGTTTTTTATCTTTAGCCCCCCTAATCTTAAAATTCTAGCTCTGCCCATACACAGATGATCATCAAAGACTTTTCGAAGTCAAGCTTTTGGCTGCATCTACTCTAAATTCAAGATTCTTGATCAACATCAGTCAATTTAATAGAGACTTCGATAACAACTTGACTTCTTTTTTGGGTATATATATATAAGGAGAGTTAAAGATATGTTATGCATGGGTGTGTGGATCTCTGAAATTCATCAAAGACTTTTCCAAGTCAAGCCTTTGGCTGCATCTACTCTAATTTCAAGATTCTTGATCAACATCAGTCAATTTAATAGAGACTTCGATAACAACTTAACTAGGGCTCGTCAATGGGCCAGGCCGGGCTAGCCCGACCCAAATTTAATGGGCTTGGGCTGGGCCGAACTGGGCTTTAAAGAGGAGAGAGAAAATATCAGGCCGGGCGGGGCCGGGCTTTTTTAGAAAATTCAAAGCCTAAGCCCATCTCATGGGCCGGGCTGAAATGGGCCTAAAACATAATGAGTGTAAATTTTTTTTTTTTTTTTTTATAAAGATGGTATGAATAAATATGCAAATGTTTGGTGATTTGTTAAAGAAAAGTATGATTATATTTAGTGATATGATATGTTGTTCGTCTTATTATATATATAATTGTTGTATTAATAAATGACACAAATTAATGTGCTAATAATCCAATTATAAATTAGGAATGAGTAGAATTCAATAGAAACACAATTTTTCAAACAAGTAACACACACACACAAAAATGAAAGAGGGGGATTTGTCATTCAAGTGATGTAATCCTAATCCTAAACCCTTATTTATACATAATTATATATGTATGCGGGCCTAATGGGCCGGACTTTTGTGGGTGGGCTGGGCCGAGCTTTCATGGGCTTAATCGGGGAGGTGTTTTGCTTTCTTTGATTACATTATTGTCTAGGGAGGTGTTTTGCTTTCTTTGACTATGAACAGCTTTTCATTTCTTTTTTGAGGGTTTTTTTTGTTGGGGCCCATGAAAAGTTTTTCGAATCCTTGTTTGGTACGTGAAATTTGACAACATGGACCCCTTTGATTAGTATCCACTTTGTTTAACATGTGCCTTAATCTTGTTCCTTTCCATTTTTATAGACCATTTTTTGTTTCTTATATGAAAAATCATGAGATTAGGAAAAATCGAACACACAACCCCAAGAAATAATTTTACGTACAAACTTTTTACGCGTTCTTAGTAGAGAGCTATTTTACTCAATATCGGATTAATTTCTTTGCTCTTGATTAATTGAAGGGTTAATGTCATATCCCCATTTCGAGTTGGCAGTGAGCCGTTTGATTTGTTTCCAAGATTGGAAATGCCCAGCTCTGTATAGCTTAGACCTTCACCTGCCCATCGCTATATATTATCAACATACAACTGTCTTGTTCAGATTTAAAAAATATCGATCATATTTGTCTTGTCAGAAGAGGATTAATATTTATTCAATAATGCCAGGCTCCCACTTTCTTCTTCTTATTTAAAGAAACAGAATTCATAAAAATAATAAACTGACTAAGCTTAAACGTATATGGTCCGGGGAAGATTTCTGATCTCGTAATAAGAAGTCAAACAAAACAAATAATAATAATATGGACAAGAGAGGTCAATTGTGCATGGCAAACCTTATCAATTTATTGTTATTTACAAAACAAAACAAAACAAATAGTATACAGTACTTGATCTACTATATATTTTCCAATCTATTGCAATTAACATAATTGTATTTTTGGTACATTTCCTGTATGGAACGAGTACAAACCAGTGGGATATAATAAATTTTTTAAACAAATCTAAGATTGTGTCCATGAGAGAGAGTTAATGTTTCCAATTCAGAATATACCAGGCTCTATAGAGATAGCAGATATAAGAGGACCAAATGTTCCTTTCTTTGGAGAAGCTGTTGTCCCTTTCCCAGACCAATGAAATCGGATCTCTAAAGTTTTATTCTTAACCTCAACTGCTTTACATTCCTTATTGAGTTCTTTATCAACGCCGTGTGCTTCCTTTTTAATTTCAAAATCCTTCCACACCAGTTTCTCCTGTAACAAACTTATCAATCAGAAATCATATTTTGTTGCATATAGTGTACAAACAGTATGCTTGACTACCTGAATATAAATATCAAATATCCGTCTTCCAACACTACGAAAAGATCTATTGCCTCTGATCGTTATCTCCGAAAAGTGAAGTTTCACGGTGTAATTGCCGTTTCGAAAGCAGCGTGCATAATACGTGAGAGAAAGAGGAGAGAGGCGTGCACTTGTGTACAACTCAGAGTTGTTCATTCTAAGTATAGATACATTATTTGCAATGTAGTCTGTAGGATTGGGGCTAGAATCCCAGAAATGTCCAGTGCTACTGGTTCCCCAGATAGGTTTCTGAATCTGAGGAACGAATTTTGCTGCACCTCCTGAGTCTTGATCCTCTTCAAAGGTGACTCCTTCGATGGTGGTTCGTTTTCCACCACAATTTATATGCAACGAGTACTGTCTATTCAGTAGCAAGCAACAGAGAAATGACATCATAAAAATTCTAATCAGATGAATTCAAATATTTGACTACATAAAAAACAAATTAGAAAGTATAGTATTGATTGTAAACCAGTTTCTGTGATTGTCACATGAACTTTAAATTATGAACTAATTCTTTTACAAGAACTTTAAAATATTAAATAATTAAAAAAGCAAAGCCCAGTGGTATTGTAATGTTACCTTCTTCTGGACATTGAAAGTTCCCCAAGCACTCTCCAAATGATCTACATTAGTGTGGTAGACAATCAGCTGATGCAAATTTAAAGTCCAGAATATATGGAAAGGGAAAAAATGGCTTCACCAATGAAGATTAAAAGTTTAGAAGCTTACGAGTTTCTTTGTGCAGAAAAGCTTTCAAACAGGTTTCTGATAAATATTTCAAAGAAAAATGCATTATTATAGGTGAATGAAGACACCAAAGTGTTTCTCGGCAATATGTTCCTACAGGGTTTCTCGGCAAGTAGTTGGCTCAGAGCTCTCAGAAAAATTATTGTAAGAAATAATATCCCTCTGGCTGCATACAATACAATAAAATTGTAAGTCAGAACAGCTCCACCAGAAAAGTTGCATTTTGGAGTATCAATAAAAATTGTAAATATGGTTAAATGATCAATTCCACAACAGAAAATCCTAAAAGTTGATCATTTAAAATTTTAGATGTTTCAAACAGAAAATCCTAACAGTTAAGATAGATTGTATGTGACTGCCTAGGACCTCTAACCAAAGTAGAAGTTCCCATATTTCTAACTATATTATCTGCGTAAACGTTATGCTAACTTAAGAAAATAAAACTCAAGAAATTCTGTATAGGATGGAAAACATACTGGCTTCTAATATGTGTGCTCTTCATCCAGTCTGGAACAGACCCGTTGAGCCAGTTGCTTGTTAGATACCTATCAAATGCATAATGACATTATGTAAAATATATGTAAATATAATATAGAGTTGTAATTTAATCTATGTAAATATCATATAGGCAGGGGAGGCAGCCCCGCCATGCATTATGATGTCTGCTAGTGATCTTCATGAAATTCACATTTCTTACAAGTACATCACGTTTTGCAGATTTTCATAGTCAGAAGTATTAATATTTCCTTCCAATTTGTTGAAGCTGAGATCTCTGCAAGAAATCAAGTAAAAAGATTGTCATAACTCATAAGATCCCAAAGTTCCATTACTTGGAAGCTTAAATGAACGAAAAAACCTATCATTAATCAACTTGCGCTGTGCTTTTGAACAAGATGTAAAACAAAGAATAACAGTGTTACAATGCAGTCAAATTTTCCATTGCTGATATATAAGCAGGGATAGGTCCGTATAAATTGCAGCTCCTCAGCATTCTGCAACATAACTTCGTATTATTAGCCTGACTCAGCTAAGAGTCTTGCATTACAACATGAAAATGTAGAACAGTTTCAAGACGTACAAGTCTTTCATGCCCCTTATATTACTCAAGTTTGGAAATTTTGAACCCCCTCCATTTAAGTCACTGAACCTTCTGCATTGAATTTCACCATGAATCATTGTAAGAAAAACAAGTCACTGTGGTATGAAGCTGTCATAAAATTTTCAAATCAGGATTAAGGTTCTTTAGTGTTAATGCAATGCAGAACTCACAGTTCTGTTAAATTACTCAAGACAGAAATGCTAGACGGAATGGGCCCATGGAGACCACTAGCTTGGATCTCTCTGTCAACAACAAAATTCAAAATCAATCAAGATTACTCAAGAAGAGTTGTTAGAATATGTTATAGGAAAAGGCACTTACAATTCCTCAAGTTGTTTAAAATTTTCCAAATAATCAGGTATTCTTCCCGTGAAGTTGTTACTACTAATCCTACTGCATGAAGGGAAAGATTGAAAAACATAAAGCTGAAGATCACCAAACATGAAAAAACGATGTTAAGGGTACAAACACTTCTTAATTTAATCAGATTAGTGAAAGCCACTGGTAATTCTCCTGTGAGATTGTTTGCACTGAGAATGTTGCAGATACCAAGGCCAGTCTTAATAACTTATCCACTGCAACTTGCTTTACCATTAATATTAAAAAGAAACTGTGGATGCAAAAGAAAAGGGGAGCTTACAAAATCTCCAAGTTAACCAAATTCCCAATCTCAGGAGGAAGAGTTCCAGAAAACAGGTTAGTCCCCAAGTTCCTGGAATTAAATTCTTCATCACAGCAGGCTAACCGAAATGAAACTTAAAGTTGATTTGACAAATAAAAAAGGGTGGTCAAGAGAGATAGAGGCAGAGCATACAGATAGATTAGAGTTTTAATGTTCCCCAAGTAGCGAGGGATTTGTCCTGATAAGTTGTTCACATTCACGGACCTGCATGCAGTTTCCTCATTTTCTTAGTAAAATTAATAAAAGCAATTAGAACTGGCTAACCTTGAACTTGAAGGCCAGAAGTCATTTTACAGAAGTTCCAACTTTGTATAAGCCCATTCGGACGGTATAGTACCACTGAGGTAGTTACTGGTGAAATCACTGTAAAAAAGATAAAATTAAAATAAAATTATACTATTATTAAGCTTTGCAGATTATAAACTGAGACAGGTTTCCCTTACACTTGTGTTATGTAGGGCAACTTTGCAACAGATGGTGGAAGTACACCAGCAAGATCTTGCCCTATAAGAAAACTGTATAACGAAAATGTTCAGCGTGTTAGCAATATTGGCTTCTTGTGTGATTGTCCTTTGTGGAACACAAAGACATGAAACACAAGACACCCCTTGTCTTATGGCACTTGTCTCATTCCTTGTTTTAGGGAATACTTTTCTTGAGCAATGTAATCCTTGTTTTAGGGAATGTTTCATGGAATGTCT